TTTTTTTTTTTGGTGGCGACAGGGTTTTGCTATATTGCCCAGGCTGGCCTTGAGCTCTTGGCCTCAGGCAGTCCTCCCATCTCAAGCTCCCAAGTAACTGGAACTATAGGTATGTGCCACCACACCTGGTTTCCAGATTTTTTCCATCATTACTGAATGTCTTTATTATGTCAAATATGTAGTACTTCTATTACTGGGGTGAAAATCAACACTTTCATTTTGGAAACATAAAACTCAGCCCGGACACTGGGGGCTGCCTCAGGGCTGTGCCTGGGTGGGGGGGTCCTATAACGTGTCTGTTCTAGTACCGCTGTAAGGAAGGTCCCAGCACCAAGGAGCCCTGATGACAAGACAGTGCCTCAAGGGACAAGAGGCTTCACCCTGCCTTGTCCTGGTGACTCGGGAATTCCAGGTGGCCCTGACCCAGAAGCCTTTGCTGGGAGGCCCGCCCCAGCCACCACCGTGATTGACAAGGTGGCTGCTTCTCCAGGGGGTGGGAACTTCAAGGCCTCTCCCTATGGAGGCCGGAAATGGCCTTCAACCCCGGCGGGGTGGCTCCCCCATGAGAGGAAAGGGTTGGGGAGGGAATCCTACATCCCACAGCCCCTTCCTGAGAAGAGCGGCCCAGGGGAGGTTGGTGCCAGCAGGAAGCCAGGCCCAAGCCCACTTCCTGCACCGGCTTCCTGGAAGAGCCAGATAAGGGGGAAGAAGGGGCCACGTGGCCCTGGGGCGGCTGCTCGGAGAGGCAGGGAGGAGGGCTGTGGGCGGCTGGGCATGCGTCTGACTGGGTGGCACCAGCCACAAAGAAAACACGGGAGCCACAGATTGGCACGCAGGGCCCATGCCCAGGTGGCCCTTTACTGTGAAGAAGCCATGGGTTTTCCTCGGCAAGCCTGTTTTCTTTCTCCAGCCCGCAACAGGAATGAGACCTGGGATCTCTTCCCGGTTCACTGGGAAAGGGGCAGAGGTCAGGCTAGTCCTTAAAGGCCCTCTCTCACTATGCAGCAGAGGCGCCAGCGCCCACAACAGAAGGGACTGCCCAAGGACAGAGGCAGACGCCCTCCTGTCAGGAGGTGGCCTGTAGACACACCTTCCATGCCAGTGACAGCTCCTCTCGGGCCACCACCTGGTCCCAGCTACTGACAGGGCAGCCCGGAGGGACCCACAGCCTCCTTGGCTGTCACCCGAGTCCCCTGTCCAAAAAGCAGGAGAAAGAACATCTAAGACAAAAATAGGGCTGGTGGATGGGCACCGTGACTCTTGCCTGTAATCACAGCACTTGGGGAGGCCGAGGCGGGTGGATCACAAGGTCAAGAGATCAAGACCAGCCTGGCCAACATGGTGAAACCCCATCTCTACTAAAAATAGAAAAATCAGCTGGTGTGGTGGCGCGCGCCTGTAACCCCAACTACTCTAGAGGCTGAAGCAGGAGAATCGCTTGAACCCAGGAGGCGGAGGTTGCAGTGAGCCAAGATCGAACCACTGCACTCCAGCCTGGCGACAGAGCGAGACTCTGTCTCAAACAAAACAAAACAAATAAGGTTGGCACAGACCTGCTCACAACACTCCCCAGGGTGGCTACAGAGCCTGGCCTGAGAGGCTCTGCCACACCCATTCCTGCCACCTGACCTTTGCTCCTGCTGCTGCCCCTGCCTGGGGTGACCTTCCCCAGACCTTCCTGTGGCTGCTGAAATCACGCCTTCGGCCAGGCACTTAATGGCCACCCTCTGCGGCATGGGTGTTTACTTCCATCATAGGATGCAGCCAGTCTTTAATTACCTTGTTTATTACCTGAGTCCCTCGCTAGACTGGAACACTCAAAGTGGGTGTGGACTTTGTCCAGCACCAAGCACAAGGCCAGGCACAGGAAAGGGACTGGGTAAACATTTGCTGAATAAATACACAAGAGAAACGCACATACCGCCCAGGGAGTCACACAGGGCAGGCAGAACACTCGGCCCACCCCACAGGGAAGGAAAGGAGTGGCACAGATGGGAAAAGTAACTTCCAGACACGGAGCTGCCTGACTCCCAGGCCCTCCACAGCTGCTGTGGCCTGGAGCCATGACCACGCGTCTTGATTCCTCCTCCATCTTCACCTCCAAACCCTGTTGGAGAATGAGGTCAGAGGAAGGGGTGGATCCTCAAAAACTTAAAAGAATACATCAAAGGGCCAAGAGAGGCTGGGCACAGTGGCTTGTGGCTATAATCACAGGACTTTGGGAGGCTGAGGTGGGAGGATCACTTGAGCCGGTGAGGTTGAGGCTGCAGTGATGTGCCACTGCACTCCAGCCTGGATGACAGAGTGAGCTCTCAGCTCAGAAAAGAAAAAGAAAAAAAAAAAAAAGTTGGCAGAGCGCAGCGGCTCACATCTACAATCTCAACACTTTGGGAGGCAGAAGCGGCAGATCACCTGCGGTCAGGGGTTCAAGACTAGCCTGGCCAACATGGTGAAACCCCATCTCTACCGAAAATACAAAAATTATCCAGGTGTGGTGGCGCGTGGCTGTAATCTCAGCTACTTGGGAGGCTGAGGCAGGAGAATTGCTCTCTCAGAGAGGTGGAGGTTGCAGTGAGCTGAGATTGTGCACTTCAGCCTGGGCGACAGAGCGAGACTGTCTCAGAAAACAAATAAAATGAAACAGAAAAAGAAAAAAGTGCCAAGTGTGATGGAAGCGGCCCCATCACCTGGGTCAGGGAAGAGCACAAGAAAATTCAGAAAAGAGAATTCCTTTCTCTGCGCTTTCTTGGAACATCTGGAGTCTGGCTCTCAGGTGTAGACCCACGAGGACTAAACCCAGTGGCTCCTAATTCCGGAAGCTTTCCAGGACTGCCCTCCCTGCCTGCTAACCCAGGTCACTCCTTCTAGCACTGCCCTGACCACAGGGAACTGGAAGTGTGTATCCCGTGATGTCTTGTCCATTCCTTTTTTTCCCCTGAGACGGGATTTCACTCTTATTGCCCAAGCTGGAGTGCAATGGCACAATCTTGGCTCACTGCAACCTCCACTTCCTGGATTTAAGTGATTCTCCTGCCTCAGCCTCCGGAGTAGCTGGGATTATAGGCACGCGCCACCACTCCCGGCTAATTTTGTATTTTTAGTAGAGACCGGGTGTCTCCATGTTGGTCAGGCTGGTCTCAAACTCCCGACCTCAGGCGATCCACCCACCTCGGCCTCCCAAAGTGCTGGGATTAAAGGCATGAGCCACTTCACCCGGCCCACCTTGTCCATTCTTGGCCACTCCTCCAGGAAACGCCTGGACAGCCAGGACTTGGGGACTCTGGATGTTCAGAAGGTGGGGACGGGCTGAAATGAATGAGTTCATACTTTGCCCACGCACCGTTCTACACAGTGGGAATACAGAGGGAAGAAAAATGAAGATCCTGCTTCCACAAAACTTATCACAGGATGGATCCTTCCAACTCTGCCCTCTAGGAACACAGCAGAGAGGGATGGGCTCCCTTCTCTGAATTGTTGTACTTGAAACCGCCTTTGCAAAAATTGTAACTGAGGAAATTATGACAGCGAAAAGAGATCAGACCTAAGCGACTCCATCTTGCTTATAACCTTTAAGCTGCCCTTGCTCTTTCCTGGGCACAGGCCGAACTCACCTTGGGAAGAAATTTAGTCTATAGTTTGACTCTGAGACAAGATTGGTAATAGCTCTTTCCCGAAAACACCCTCTTCTTGCCTGGGGACCAGTCCGCCTTTGGAGGACTAACAAGCTGCAAGATTACAAATGATCGTGTAGGGGTCACGAAGCCTCTGGCTCAAGAGTCTGAACCTCCCCAGATTGCTCCTGGGGATAACATCACTATTATAAAATCTAAGATCAGTGCTTGAAATAGTTTTGCAGACCCCGTACTGGATGGATCAGCTGACACCACCCAGACGAGTAATCTGGCTCAACCAGTCCCGCAATCCCACCCACGAACAGAATCCCACCCAGGAACAGAAGACAGCAAGAAAATCTCACTTCAACCTCCCCAGGACTCCCATCTCCAACCTCAGGAAGCTCCAGCCAATCAGCACCCCCCACTTCCTGAGCCCCTACCTGCCAAATCATCTTTAAAAACTCGGATCCCCTAGGCGGGGTACAGTGGCTCACCCTGTAATCCCAGAACTTTCGGGAGGCTGAGGTGTGTGGGATCACCTGAGTTCAGGGGTTCCAGACCAGCCTGGCCAACATGGTGAAACCCTGTCTCTACTAAAAATACAAAAAATTAGCCGCACATGGTGTGGCTGGTGCCTGTAGTCCCAGCTATTCAGGAGGCTGAGGCAGGAGAAATGCTTGAACTCGGGAGGCAGAGGTTGCAGTGAGCCAAGATCGTGCCACTGCACTCCAGCCTGGGCAACAAGAGTGAAACTCCAGTCTCCTGCAGAGCTGGCTCTGTGTGAATTTCTTTCTCCATTGCAATTCCCCTCTCTTGATAAATCGCCTCTGTCTAGGAAGCAGGCCAGGTGAACCCATTGGGTGGTTACACACTGACCCCAGGATTTAGGGAGCCCTCTCTCACTAATCCTCAGCTCTGATGCAGCCACCCCTGTGGACCCCTCCTGGTTACTAAATCTCCCACTGTCTCACAGAGTCTGGAAGTCACATCCCCAACAAAGGCCTAGATTTCTCTCCCTGAAAAAAGAAGGGCCAGATGCTGATGGGCCAGGAAATTCCCAGCTCCGACTTCGTTTTCCGATCTGCACATTGAGGACACCGGCAATCTCTGGCCCAGATCCAGAACTTCCATAATCACAAACATCTGGCCCTGCAGAGACCTGGGCCTCAGTTTTTCCTTCTGTGTATTGGGAGGATGCACTTCATCCATCCCCGGCTCAAAATGCCCCCTTCCCCTGGAATGACATGCTCTGTGACCCAAGGAGAAAGACCACACCCCAGCACCAGGCCTGCTTTTCAGCCAGAAAACAAGAGACCTAGGAGGCTGTGCTGCTAGCATTTTATGCATCTTGCAAGCTCTGAAATTTCTAAAGCTAAGTTTCACAACTCAGAGTGGCCCCCTACTTCCCAGCACTCTAAGTTTCAATCTGGGAGGTCAGACCGGGCCTGAAGCACTCGGGGCCCCTTTCCTGCCCCAAAACTCTCTGCTGCATTTGGCGGGCCCCCACCTTTTTTTACCTCAGTTTCCCCACCTGCAAAATGGGAAAAACTAAAGCGAGCCCGCTGTACTATGGATGCAAGTCCGTGCAACCCTAAATCTCACAAACGTCCTAGAGCCATCTGCAGCCTCCGGCCTCAGTTTCCCAGCCTCGTGCTGGGGGACGGGACTCGAGGCTCGGACTGTACGTTCACCTCGCGCCAACCCAACCCTCAGCGCCCGCCCGGAGGGCTCCCAACGACTGCGGCTCCCGCCTCCCGGTAAGACCCCGCCGATGCCCTGCCCTCACCATGGTGCCGGCGGGGACCGGGATCACCGGCCACTTCCGCCACCGCCGCCGCACACGCTCCCGGCGCTTCTCGCAGCGCCGCGCGCCACCAGGCTGAAAGAAAGTGGCAGACACGCGAGCCAGTCAGCACCGGGCTCGAAGGGCTGCCAACCAATCCACGCCGAGCATGGCGGGGCCCACTGGGCGAAAGGGGCGGGCGGGCCGTATTCCCGCCGGAGGAACGAGGAAGAGAGCCGTAAAGCGTCGCGGCTTGTACTGCAAAAGGGGGCGGAGCAACGCGACCTGGCGCGTGGTGCATTGTGGGTAAGCGCATGCGCAGGTGAAGCCGTCTGTCTCCTGGGCTCCACGCTGTGGGCAAAGCCAGTTAATGCCTTTCGTTTACAGTCGAGAGAGAGTGAGGCCTCGTGCTGATTGGGACGTCCCTGAGGTCGCCCTTCGGACTCCTAGTTTTCTAATTCTGTAATTATCCCGGGAACATAATTTAGTAGGTTGGAATCCTGACCACGCCCCTCGGAGCCTCAGTTTGCTCCCTGTAAAATGGGTTATAATAGTGTCTGCTCTGAAAGCTTGCTTGCTATGAGGATGAAATGAGTGAAACTGTGTAAAAAAAAAAAAAAGCACTTAAAACAGCGTCTGGCGATCGGGCGCGGTGGCTCACGCCTGTAATCCCAGCACTTTGGGAGACCGAGCTAGACGGATCACCTGAGGTCGGGAGTTCGAGACCAACCTGACCAACATGGAGAAGCCCCGTCTCTACTAAAAATACAAAGTTAACCGGCCGTGGTGGCGCAGGCCTGTAATCCCAGCTACTCGGGAGGCTGAGGCCGGAGAGTCTCTTGAACCCAGGAGGCAGAGGATCGCACCATTGCACTCCAGCCTGAGCAGCAAACGAAACTCTGTCTCAAAACAAACAAAAACAGCGTCTGGCACATAGTAAGTACTTAACAATATACTTGGTGCTTGCTCCTGCTCACAGAAATGAACAAATCACAAAATTTGTGGTCCTCAGGGAGATAGTAAAGAAAATAAATAGGCAAATGCTGTTAGTTTCCTGGGGCCTGCTGTAACAAATGCCCTCGAACTGAGAGGTTTAAAACAACAGAACGTGATTTTCTCACAGTTCAGGAGACCAGAATTCTGAATTGAGGTCGTCAGCGGAGTTGGCTCCCTCTGGAGGCTCTGCGTGTCCTGCGCCTCTCTCCTGGGTTCTGCTGGCTGCTGCCAGTCCTTGGAGTTCCTTGACTTACACATGGAGCCTTCTGCTTTCTGTCTGCCTCTGTCTTCACTTGGCCTTCTCTGTGTGTCTCTCAGTCTCAAATGTTTCTCTCCTTTTTATTTTTTTTGGACAGACAGGGTCTCGATATGTTGTTCAGGCTAGTCTCAGACTCCTGGGTCAGGCGATCCTCCCTCCTCCCCGCTTCCCAAAGTGCTGGGATTACATGTGTGAGCCACTGAGCCCAGCCTTTCCTTTTTCTTTTTCTTTCTTTCTTTCTTTTTTTTTGAGACAGAGTTTTGTTCTTGTTGCCCACGCTTGAGTGCAATGGCACGATCTTGGCTCACTGCAACCTCCACCTCCCGGGTTCAAGCCATTCTCCTGCCTCAGCCTCCCGAGCAGCTGGGATTATAGGCATGCGACGCCATGCCCAGCTAATTTTTTGTATATTCAATAGAGACGGGGTTTCTCCATGTTGGCCAGGCTGGTCTCGAACTCCCGACCCCAGGTGATCCGCCTGCCTTGGCCTCCCAAACTACTGGGATTACAGGCATGAGTCACCACACCTGGCCTAGCCATTTCTTTTCCTTACAAGCACACTCCTTTCTCTTATTAAGCTCACCCTAAATTCAGGATGATGCCATCTCAGGATCCTTAATTACATCTGCAAAGATCCTATTCTTTTTTTTTTTTTTTTTGAGATGGAGTCGTTCTGTCACCCAGGCTGCAGTGCAGTGGCATGATCTTGGCCCACTGCAACCCCTGTCTTCCAGCTTCAAGGGATTCTCCGGCCTCAACCACCCAAGTAGCTAGGATTACACACACATGCCACAATGCCCAGCTAATTTTTCTATTTTTAGAAGAGACGGGCTTTCACCATGTTGGCCAGACTGGCCTTGAACTACTGACCTCAGGTGATCCACCCACCTTGGCTTCCCAAAGTGCTGGGATTACTGGCTTGGGATTACGCCCAGCCCCATATTTTAATGACTGATGCTATTTATTGACATTATTCATAATATCAAGACTGAAAGAAACCCAATGCGACCACATAATGGAGAAACACAGCTGTAAAAAGAAATGAAGACATCTTCATATACTACAATTGAACGGTGTCTGGATATATTAAGTGGAAAAAAAACCAAGGTAGAGAACAAGTTTTACAGTATGTCATTTTTTGTGTGCAAAAAAAAGAAATACATGCATGTGTATGTGTATATGTATTTGCGTATATACGTATATATATAACCACGCCAAGCACATGAACTCAATTTGCTGTTTTTTTTTTTTGATGGAGTCTTGCTCTGTTGCTAGGCTGGAGTGCGGTGGCACAATCTTGGCTCACTGCAACCTCTGCCTCCCGGGTTCAAGCTATTCCCCTGCATCAGCCTCATGAGTAGCTGGGACTACAGGTGCGTCCTACCGCGCCCAGCTGATTTTTTTTGTATTTTAGTAGAGACGAGGTTTTACCATGTTGGCCAGGATGGTCTCGATCTCCTGACCTCATGATCTACCCATGTCGAGCATAAAGAAACATAAAGACTTGATGAGGTGGCCCACGCCTGTAACTGAAGCACTTTAGGAGACTGGGGGTGGGTGGATCACCTGAGGTCAGGGGTTTGAGACCAGCCTGGCCAACATGGTGAAACCCCGTCTCTATTAAAAACACAAAAATATTAGCCGGGCGTGGTGGCAGACGCCTGTAATCCCAGCTACTCAGAAGGCTGAAGCAGGAGAATCACTTAAACCCAGGAGGCAAAGGTTGCAGTGAGCCGAGATCGCACCACTGCACTCCAGACTGGGCAACAGAATGAGACTCCATCATAAAAAAGACAGAAAGAAACAGGGTCTATGGGGTGTCCCAGCATCAACATAGCAATGAAAGTAGCAGCAAACCGCATTCTGGGTCATCCTTTCGGGCTTTTCTAGACTTTTCTACATGCAAAGTCTTTCTTCTTTTGCGCAACTTGCAAACTCCTATTCACCGTTGAAACCTCTGCTTGGTGTCCCCGTGTGGCAGACAGTGGTTACTGCAGTATTTTTGTTTGCCTTTCTTTCTTTCTTTCT